ACCCTGTATATCCCCAAAACTTTATCCCTCTCTCCTAGGACAAGTCTCTTCAAAGAAAGAAGAACGAGTTTTTAAAATTATTAGTCTTTATTATCAAAAACTCGCTCAGCGATGGTGAGACGGGATGAGGTATATGCATTTTTTTACGAGTATCCTATTTAATCTGTAGGAATGCGAAAATAAACAATATCTTTCGATGGTTTACTGTGACTAAGAGTCTAGCATACCGAGACAAGGGTAAGTTTCCACTGTGATGTACGTGTCATTTGATAGATTTTTTTATTCATTTCGTTTAACCGTTACTGAAAGCGCTGTAGAGATAACCGATAAGGAGGCCACCGAAAATTTGAACACAGAACCTGACGCGATAACGAAGGAAACCGATAACGAGGAAATATATAGAATCTATTATCAGTAAAGATATGAACGCTAATAACTCTTTCGCCACTTTGTGTTCCGCCGTAGAGGCCGTTCCATTCTTTGACTGCATTTGGTGATTCACTAAAATAGTAAAACAAGAGTATAGGACGAAATTAAATCTGGGCTCACCGGAATTATTGAAATAAAATTAAAGAACGCGACGAGACGGATAAAATAAGATAAAATGAATAACTCGAAATGCGTAACCTAGATAAAGCAGCTTCTACTAAAATCTTGTCTCTTGTCTCAGAGTACGGTATCGCTTTGTCTTGCCACTAAGTTGATGTTATAGATTTGATTTGCGTGGCGGAAAACCAGGATTTCTTGATTTTCAAGCGAGGTGGATTCTGGGATTTAGAAACTAGGCGGCGGAGTGTCAGAATGAGTATCCTTCTTTCAGGGCGAGATGTCAGACTTACAGAAATGAGGAAATAAGTAGAGAGTGAAAGTCAGAATGAGTACCATTCTTTCAGGAAGACGGTATTGCAAAAACTTCCTAATATTAACAGTAATAAAATAGGTTTCATTTTTGTTCTTATAAATTAAAAAAAAAACAGATATAACTGGTAAGGTAAAAGTATTAATTCCCGGACATCTTGGATATTCTTGGTTTTAAATACGAATATTTAAACTTTATTTATACTTACTACTTGTATATATATTTTGTGTTGAAAGTTTAAATATTTTTATTAAAGACCAAAACGATGAGAATATTCAGGATTAAGTATTTATTCAAGAATTGAGTTCGGGAATATTTTTACTTTATATATCAAGGAAAATCAATCAGCAGCAGTTGTGAAATTGCTGAAAGATATACGGAAAATGTGTGCGTGCCTACGTTCATTTATATACTTACATCGCACACATTCAAACATGCATCACTCAGCAGTTATAAAACTGCTGAAGGATGTGCAGGAAAATATATACGTTCATATTTATATTCCAAAACATCCAAATATACTCGTGCACTGCAGATACGACAGAAAAAGTACCGTTATCTTTTTTTATTATATATTATTTTTACTATTGTTTTATTTTTCTTATTATTCCTGAGACATTTCAATTAAAAAGTTGATTTACGAAACGTTTCCGGGAGGATTGATAATGCCGCAATGTCATGTACAACGTGATATAGTAGTCGTTTCTGTGTAACAGACGTTTCTTTATACAGGGTGTCTCAGAAATAACGAAGGTGATAAAAAGAGAAAATAGAGGGAACCAAAATAAAGAAAAAAAATTAATGTATCATTTTTCGGGAATCGCAATATTCATTGAGTTATTAATTAAAATATCAGATAATAAATGTGTGTGTACCGGAGATAGAAAGTTGGACGCAATAGCGTAATAGCGATAGTGGATAGTGTCCGGCTGTCAACGAGCGTTGTCTGAGATACCCTGTATACTTGGTGTCTCTAGCCAAGATAGCACTACCGTGCCGCTTGATCTTTTCTTATTATCGAAGACTAGCTTAGTTGTACGTCCGTTATAGAACATAAAATTAACACAGTAAACGACAAGCTAGTAAATACGAAGCAATATCAATCCACAAAGAAGAAACAATTCCAAAGCTCTTAAAAATGATATTATAAAACTTTCAAAATCTCTATACGATTCTCCTTTGTGGACCTAAGAAACCGAACTCGAAAGGCAATAAGCGTTGGCGAATAGTTATAGACCATAGACTAAATAAACAAACCGTCACCTATCCTTTGCCAAACATAACGGAAATTCTAAATCAGTTAGGTAGTGTGAAGTATTTTAGTGTATTCGATCTTTAGTGTTTCAATCAGACTAAGATGCATCAGCCTAACGCGCAAAAAAACTGCTTTTTTAATGCTATACGGGCATTATCAACTTAATCATGTCATTCGAACTAAAAAATACTACTGTGACGTTCCAAGGGCTGATAGATCAAATTCTGAGTGACTATAAGGCATGGAACTATTTGTCTATATGAACGATATTGTATTATATGTAAATTTGTTTAGA